GGTCAACTGCCCCCTAGGGAGCTTTCAATTCAAAGTGATTCCTTTCGGATTGCAGGGGCCCGCAGCGGTATTCATGCAGTTAATAAATGAGGTGTTGCACGAGCACTTCTAGAAGGGGGTCCTCGTCTACCTAGATGGCATCCTTATCTACACTGAAACCATGGATGACCAAGTACCCCTGGTCCACCAAGTACTGAAAAAACTTCTGCCAACCAACCTGTACGTCAAGGTGTCAAAATGTGAGTTCCACCATGCACGGTTAGACTACCTGAGTTACCGAGCGTCAAATGAGTGAATAGAGATGGACCCAGCCAAAGTGCAAGCCATCTTAGGCTGGCAACCCCCTTGCACCCGCAGACAACTACAAAGTTTCCTAGGTTTTGCGAACTTCTACAGGCAATTCATCCCCTCCTTTGCAAAAATTGCCAAACTTCTAACAGATCTCCTGAAGACAGGGAGCCCAGGAACGAAACCCCATCTGGGACAACCACTACAGTGGGACCTAATCTTCCAAGAGGCGTTCAAAATACTAAAAGGAGCCGGTGCTGAAGCATCTGACCCCGAGCAGCCTTTCGTGATCCAGGCAGATGCCAGTGACATGGCAGTGGGAGCAGTGCTACTCCAAAGAAACAACCAAAGAAACTTACAACTCTGCACCTACACCTCCCACAAGTCCACAGACACAGAGAAACGATAGGCCACATGGGAAAAGGAGGCTTTCACAGTGAGAGGGGCACTGCTAACTTGGAGACACCTGTTGCAAGGGGGGCAGAAACCATTCAAAGTCTGGATCGACCACAAAAATCTAGAGGTGCTTAGGACCCCACAGAAGCTATCACCCAAACAAGTCCGATGGGCTCAATACTTCAACTGTTTTGATTTTGATTTAAAGCACATTCCAGGGGGGAGGAACTTTCTAGCTGACGCCCTCTCCCGCATGCCTCAGCACAAATGCAAACGGGAGCACGTAGTGAATACCATCATTCCCTCTACCCAAACTTCTGCCCAAGTGACCACCAGATGGCAATGCCATGACTGGCAAGACCGACTTGTAAGTGACCTAACCACGAGGCTCAAACCTGAACTGCTAGCAGACCCCCTGGTTCCAAAACAACCAACACATCTTGACAAAGAGAGATGACCTTGCAGGGAAGGAGACAAAACTCTATGTCCCAGAATTCCTACATACCCTAATTCTCCAGAGGAGTCATGATGCCAAACCAGCAGGCCATTTTGGGTTCCTAAAGACTTTACACTTAGCCCAGAGGCAATTCTGGTGGCCTGGCATGAAGAAAGATGTAGATAGTTATGTGAAAAGTTGTACCATCTGCGCCACAATGAAGAGATGACCAGGAAAACCCCCTGGACTACTGCAAACAGTAGCAGAGCCAACGAGGCTGTGGGAGGAGATCGCAATGGACTTTATAGTAGAGTTGCCAAAAAGTGGGGGCAACACGGTGATTTGGACTGTAATAGACCTATTCTCCAAACAGGCACACTTCATAACCTGTAGCGGACTACCCTCAGCTCACAAGCTGGCTAAATTTTTGTGAAGCATATCTACCGACTGCATGGAGTACCTCGAAGAATTATCTCAGACAGAGGGGTCCAGTTCACGGTTAAGTTCTGGAGGGAGTTCCTGCAGTCCATTGGATCATCTCAGCATCTTAGTTCAGCTTTTCATCTGAGCACCAATGGGGCAGTAGAGAGAGTGAATGCCATGGTGGAGCAGTACCTGAGGTGCTATGTGAACTATCAGCAGTCCAATAGGGCAGACCTTTTATCTTTTGCTGAGGTGGTGTACAATAATGCTGTTCACAGTCGCACAGGACTCACACCATTCAAAATAGTGAGCGGTATGGATTTCGTCCCAATGCCTGAGTATGCAAAGGATCCCCCCTCCTCAGTCAGCTTGGCTGACTGGATGTCGATGCTGAAAGC